CCCTGTACTAAAACCTCCCTGTACTAAAACCTCTCTGTACTCAAACCTCCCTGTACTAAAACCTCCCTGTACTAAAACCTCCCTGTACTCAAACCTCCCTGTACTAAAACCTCTCTGTACTAAAACCTCCCTGTACTCAAACCTCCCTGTACTCAAACCTCCCTGTACTCAAACCTCCCTGTACTAAAACCTCCCTGTACTAAAACCTCCCTGTACTAAAACCTCCCTGTACTCAAACCTCCCTGTACTCAAACCTCCCTGTACTCAAACCTCCCTGTACTAAAACCTCCCTGTACTAAAACCTCCCTGTACTAAAACCTCCCTGTACTAAAACCTCCCTGTACTAAAACCTCCCTGTACTAAAACCTCTCTGTACTAAAACCTCCCTGTACTCAAACCTCCCTGTACTCAAACCTCCCTGTACTCAAACCTCCCTGTACTCAAACCTCCCTGTACTCAAACCTCCCTGTACTAAAACCTCCCTGTACTAAAACCTCCCTGTACTAAAACCTCCCTGTACTAAAACCTCCCTGTACTAAAACCTCCCTGTACTAAAACCTCCCTGTACTAAAACCTCCCTGTACTAAAACCTCCCTGTACTAAAACCTACCTGTACTAAAACCTCCCTGTACTAAAACCTCCCTGTACTAAAACCTCCCTGTACTAAAACCTACCTGTACTAAAACCTCTCTGTACTAAAACCCTCTACTGCAGACGTTTACCAGACGAGGGTTATAGCATCAATCTCTGTTCCCAAGGTCATCAAGGTGACCCGACCTTTGACCTCTGGGAACTCTCCGTTGTTATGTAAGTGTAACGCCCTGGCCGACCTTGACCTTAACGAGATTATCAACATCCGTGTCTCCACGACCAACTCCTCCCCCCCCCCCCCAGTTTGTTGTTTTAATTAACCCAATAACATCACTAAACGCGCTACACTCCATGTTTCATTCCTCCACACCTTCCCGCCCCCTCCCCACCGTTCCTCTCTTTCGCCGCCCACACCCACCCTCCGCCCTATTTTTACAAACTTGATTTTCCTGAACTGATTTCTATCCGCCTCTTCAGGACGATTTTAATGTCGATTGTTTGAAAAGGTTCTAAAATTGTCAATTAATCCTAATTGTAAATAAAACTATCCCAGCATGATTCTAGTTCATGTTTACTGTAAGTATGTCTTATGCTGGGTCCAGTGACGGATTCTAGTTGGGGTTGGTGGGGGGAGGGAACTGGGGGTTGGGGGGGGGGACTGGGGGTTGTGGGGGGGGGGGGGTGGGGCGGAGGGCGGAGGGACTGGGGTTGTATGGTGAAGTTTGAGATTCGTCATCCCCACAAAATGGCCGTAATCTTGACTACAACAGCTACATGAGGGGGCGTGGCTTGCTATTTCCCTGCTGGTGACGTCATTAGAACCATTTAATGATCTACCAGTACACTAAGCTGCAGTGGTGCTATCTAATTGGACTAACTGACTCTCGATACTTTTTCAATCACCGGCCACTGGGTGAGTAATCGATACCGTTATTGCACACGATGTTCGATACCATTGTGTCATGAGTCATATGGTGTATTATGGTGTATCATATGGTGTATCATATGGTGTATCATAGGGTGTATCGTATGGTATATCATATGGTGTATCATAGGGTGTATCATGGTGTATCATGGTGTATCATAGTGTATCGTGGTGTATCATATGGTATATCATAATGTATTATAGTGTATCATAGAGTGTGTCATGGTGTATCAAAGTGCATCATGGTGTATCGTATAATGTATCATATGGAGTAACATAGGGTGTATCATAAAGGTCAACTTGCCCTCAAGGTCACCAAGCCTGTACTAGCTATAGAGGTCAAATCTTGTCAAATATTTCAGTGGATCTCAAATCTTGTCAAATATTCCAGTGGATCTCAAATCTTGTCAAATATTTCAGTGGATCTCAAATCTTGTCAAATATTTCAGTGGATCTCAAATCTTGTCACATATTTCAGTGGATCTCAGATCTTGTCACATATTACAGTGGATCTAAAATCTTGTCACATATTTCAGTGGATCTCAAATCTTGTCAGATATTTCAGTGGATCTCAAATCTTGTCAGATATTTCAGTGGATCTCAAATCTTGTCAAAGATGAGTACACAGCTGGGACTACCGACCATATGATTGACACACCTGGGGTACACGTGTATACACTGAATCTAATAATAGCAACACAGCACACCAAGAAGTTTCAAGGTCGGGTGACTCTCATTATGACATTACACCAACAGCACATATTTACTGCCACCAGTGACATAATGTCCATACAACAACAACACACGTGAACGACAGCAACCAACCACAAAGCTACCCCCCACCACCCCCTCCCCTAAACACTCGAACCAATAAATAAACATCGACAGACACCAAATCTTATTTCAAACGTCCATGTTTGTCGAGATAAACATCGACACCAAATCTTATTTCAAACGTCCATGTTTGTCCAGTAGATTGTCGAAAATTCTAGAACAAGTTTGAATGATGTCAGGACAAATCTGATTGGATGCACCAATCAGAGAACGAGATTAGTTTGCACTTGCTTGACCCTGGGTTAGAGGCTACAGAAAATCAAACATTTTTTCCCGCGCGATTCTCACCACGTGATCATTTCTCCGCTGGTCTATTAGACAAGTCCTTCGGTCGTTGCTGGTGACGTCACTGGTTTGGCTCCGTGACGTCACTGGTGAGGCTCCGTGACGTCACTGATGAGGCTCCGTGACGTCACTGGTGAGGCTCCGTGACGTCACTGGTGAGGCTCCGTGACGTCACTGGTGAGGCTCCGTGACGTCACTGATGAGGTTCAATGACTTTAATTACCGGTCGTTCATCAGACACGGGAAATGTAATACTATCGTTAGACGGCGGAGGGGATGGGAGGGGTGGCCGGCGCTCAACATAAATCACAATTAATTAAGGAGACAAACATGTAATTAGCCAGGTAATTAGCAAGTCTAAACGAATAAAAGTTTTCCTCAACCACCCGCTGTAAAGGGGTAAAACTCCAATAAACCAATTCTCTGCTCAAGCTAATCCACAGCTGGTCTACAGCTGGTCTACAGCTGGTCTACATACAGCTGGTCTATAGCTAGTCTATAGCTGGTCTATAGCTGGTCTATAGCTTGTCTACAGCTGGTCTACAGCTGGTCTATAGCTGGTCTATAGCTGGTCTATAGCTTGTCTACAGCTGGTCTACAGCTGGTCTATAGCTGGTCTATAGCTGGTCTATAGCTTGTCTACAGCTGGTCTACAGCTGGTCTACAGCTGGTCTACAGCTGGTCTACAGCTGGTCTACAGCTGGTCTACAGCTGGTCTATAGCTGGTCTACAGCTGGTCTACAGCTGGTCTACAGCTGGTCTATAGCTGGTCTACAGCTGGTCTATAGCTGGTCTATAGCTGGTCTATAGCTTGTCTACAGCTGGTCTACAGCTGGTCTATAGCTTGTTTACAGCTTGTCTACAGCTGGTCTACAGCTGGTCTATAGCTGGTCTACAGCTGGTCTACAGCTGGTCTACAGCTGGTCTACAGCTGGTCTATAGCTGGTCTACAGCTGGTCTACAGCTGGTCTACAGCTGGTCTACAGCTGGTCTATAGCTGGTCTATAGCTGGTCTATAGCTTGTCTACAGCTGGTCTACAGCTGGTCTATAGCTTGTCTACAGCTGGTCTATAGCTGGTCTATAGCTGGTCTATAGCTGGTCTATAGCTGGTCTATAGCTTGTCTACAGCTGGTCTATAGCTGGTCTACAGCTGGTCTACAGCTGGTCTATAGCTGGTCTATAGCTGGTCTATAGCTGGTCTATAGCTGGTCTATAGCTTGTCTATAGCTGGTCTATAGCTTGTCTACAGCTGGTCTATAGCTGGTCTACAGCTGGTCTACAGCTGGTCTACATACAGCTGGTCTATAGCTTGTCTACAGCTGGTCTATAGCTGGTCTACAGCTGGTCTATAGCTGGTCTATAGCTGGTCTATAGCTTGTCTACAGCTGGTCTATAGCTGGTCTACAGCTGGTCTACAGCTGGTCTACATACAGCTGGTCTACAGCTGGTCTACAGCTGGTCTATAGCTGGTCTACAGCTGGTCTATAGCTGGTCTATAGCTGGTCTATAGCTTGTCTACAGCTGGTCTATAGCTGGTCTACAGCTGGTCTACAGCTGGTCTACATACAGCTGGTCTATAGCTGGTCTACATACAGCTGGACTACAGCTGGACTACAGCTTGTTTGGTGTGTGTTTGATAATTGTTTAATGTCGGAACATCCCATCAACCTTTTAAAAAAGGAAAACTAAATATTTGATCAGCTTTTAGTCTAATTAACTCATCTGTGTTTAATCAAAGGAAAAATTTTAAGCTGCATTTTCAAAGGTAAAATTAGTGTGTAAAATTTCTGTAAAAATTGTTGAAAAAGTAAGATTTGTTTCTAATTTTTTCAAATGGGGCGGATTTGTTGCTAGCAATGGTCACTCCGTGCAGTTCATTACAGCCACATTAGTGATATGCTAATGGCGCGAGCTGTTTGAATAGTCGCCCAATGAGGAAGCCGTCCATTTCCTGACGTCCAGTTCTCGTCTGCTTCTATACACCGCTGATCCCAGAACAGGTGCATTCTGGGATATCGTGACGTATGCAGCAGATATCGTGACGTATGCAACAGATATCGTGACGTATGTAGCAGATATCGTGACGTATGCAGCAGATATCGTGACGTGTGCAGCAGATATCGTGACGTATGTAGCAGATATCGTGACGTATGTAGCAGATATCGTGACGTATGCAGCAGATATCGTGACGTATGCAGCAGATATCGTGACGTGTGCAGAAGATATCGTGACGTATGTAGCAGATATCGTGACGTATGCAGCAGATATCGTGACGTGTGCAGAAGATATCGTGACGTATGCAGCAGATATCGTGACGTATGTAGCAGATATCGTGACGTATGTAGCAGAGTCCCAGGATTCAAAATGGAGTTAAGTGACAACGAGCAGACGACGGATGCACGGGTGCAAGTTTTCAGGTGCTTACATTACTTGTTTTATGGGCCGACCTTGAATCTGTCGCAATACAGGGGAAGTAGAGGACTCCTGTACCAAAAGCTTTGCCCGTGTGACTGTCACGGAACCTGTCCGCCTTACTTCGTCCGTCTTCTCGGTAAATGCCAGGTACTGGTTTAAACTGAGTAGACTAGCTTCTCTAAAGTGGACCCTCTGCGACAGGTTATGTAGATCTAAATTTAATCTCAGGTGAATTTATCACACGTTTATTGTTTGTTGGATATAACCATGTATCTATGTTGTGTACGATACAGCTTAACCAAGATATAAACTTAGTAAAGAACTCGGCTAATACGGACCTTAGTTTATCACTAACTGATCTCTAACCGATCAAAAACCGATCGATAACCGATCACTGACTTCGGCTGCTAACCCTAGTTGTGTTGCTGGAAACGTTGTATCATTGTTCCTGCTGGTGTCTGATGGTGTTACTGAGGATGTTGTATCAATGATCTTGCTGGTAAAGAGAACCTCCTCATAACGTTCGATAACTGCACGAGCAGGGGGATAACTCCCCCATAAGGGACACAATCAAGCGGCATCGCTACAACAAACTTCCCCAGAGTTGATAAAGTTCCCCTTCCTTGAAGTTTCCTGGTTGCCATGGCGACAGCTGCAAGTACACAACGAACCGTGCAATGTTTGGGTAAATCAAAGACTCTCAGATCCGATTGTTGAGAAATATGGCCACAGTAGCCTGTAATTAGCCTGCACTTTGTAATATCTTTGTAGGCACGTGATCTTGGTCATGAGATTGTCTTTTTAGAATCGTCAAAGTACACTTTGTTATTAGGGTGTTCTAATTTCTTCCCTTTTGTTAGACCCCCACCCGACCCCCACCCACCTCCCCTAATTTCGAAACATCTTCCGCCTCTCAGTGTCTTGTATCTTATTGAAATGTCAACAAATCTCAGATCTGTATAGTGCTAGCATGTATCACGCTAATTTTTAGCGCCGTGCTAGTTTTTGTTTTATTGCAAACCAATATATGTCAACATAAAAATAGCTATCCTTAGAATTATATATATATATATATATATATATATATATATATATATATATATATATATATATATATATATATATATATATATATATATGTATTTGTATATAACATAAGCGCAGGTAGACAGCAAGATTATCTTGTGCTATACAGATCAATATGAAACGAACGTTGGTGTAAAAACCATAGCATCTTGTGACCGTAAATGAACGTGACCTGAAGGTTAAAGGTTCACTTCGATATGGTTGCCATGGCGACATTGGCTCGAGTCACGGTATATAGACCAGTGGTCATGTGACTCAACTGTTACATGTTTTGTTTTAGTGATATTGGGCGGTTTGACTGTTTGTAACAACACTAGTCTTAAATGTCTGTTGTGTGTCAATGTCTGCCACTAGTGTAAAATGTCTGCCTCTAGTGTAACACTAAATGTCTGCCTGTAGTGTAAAATGTCTGCCTCTAGTGTAAAATTTCTGCCTCTAATGTAAAATGTCTGCCTCTAGTGTAAAATGTCTGTCTCTAGTGTAACACTAAATGTCTGCCTGTAATGTAAAATGTCTGCCTCTAGTGTAAAATGTCAGCCTCTAGTGTAAAATGTCTGCCTGTTGTGTAAAATGTCTGCCTGTAGTGTAAAATGTCTGCATCTAGTGTAAAATGTCTGCCTCTAGTGTCAAATGTCTGCCTCTAGTGTCAAATGTCTGCCTCTAGTGTCAAATGTAAAATGTCTGCCTCTAGTGTCAAATGTCTGCCTCTAGTGTAAGATGTAAAATGTCTGCCTCTAACCCCAGTGTAAGACTAAAATGTCTGCCTCTACCCCCAGTGTGAGCCTAAAATGTCTGCCTCTACCCCCAGTGTGAGCCTAAAATGTCTGCCTCTACCCCCAGTGTGAGCCTAAAATGTCTGCCTCTACCCCCAGTGTGAGCCTAAAATGTCTGCCTCTACCCCCAGTGTGAGCCTAAAATGTCTGCCTCTACCCCCAGTGTGAGCCTAAAATGTCTGCCTCTAGTGTCAAATGTCTGCCTCTACCCCCAGTGTGAGCCACAAGATGAGCCCGTGGACCAAGGAGAACCCTCACTACGGAGCCTTCCATAAAGTGCATCAGCGTGACCCCCATGACCTTGACCTCCAGCGTGACCCCCATGACCTTGACCTCCAGCGTGACCCCCTTGACTGTGATCACGGAGAGATCTACTCCTCCACCCATTTGGGGGTCGAGGGTCAGGTGGGGGTCGAGGGTCAGAACTGCTGCTACGCTGACCCCGTTTCAAACAGGGGTCGCTTTTTGCAGGTAGGTCATTAATCTTCTTGTATCTTCATTCATTAACTAATGAACGTGTTTGATAGCGTATTGCCTTCCATCTCTTCATGAATACTAGACCACGCCGACCCCTTAGACAGGCCGACCCCTTAGATAGGCCGACCCCTTAGACAGGCCGACCCCTTACGCCGACCCCTTAGACTGGCCGACCCCTTAAACAGGCCGACCCCTTAGGCCGACCCCTTAGACAGGCCGACCCCTTAGACTGGCCGACCCGTTAAACAGGCCGACCCCTTACGCCGACACCTTAGACAGGCCATTAAAAACATGGACATTGGTAGCAAATACGCATATAATTTCTTGAAATGTGATTCCATATTAAACAGCTTAAGGGTTTCTTTCATATATTTTTCTCCGGTGTGAGGGTGGATGTAGAGATACATTGTGGTGCACTGCCCCCTCCCCGCCCCCTATCTCCGGAGAAATGCCTTAAAGAACCTTCATAGAATGTAGGTCACTGTCTGTTATGTGTTCAATTGTGTTTTGTGTCACCCCCCTCCCCCCCCAAAAAAAAAACCATCTTAGTTTCTGACCGGTTGAGATAATCTGCGTGAGTTAATCTACTGTAATCTACCTTAATCTGCCGTAATCAAGCCGTGACTATAGAAACATGGCAGCAATCTAAAGCTAAGTGAAAAGTACTGAGGTTAAAATCTTATATCCTCGTCATCACATTCATTTAATTAGCGCCACTCCACTCTATCACATGAAATTAGCGCCACTCTAACACGTGAAGTTAACGCCACAACAAATGTAACACCACCTAACAAATCTAACACGTCACCTTTGTAGAACCTATACCATGGCAATCGTATGAGGTTATAATGAATATCAGCAATAACAAATTTAAACAACATAACCTAACCAACATCCAACATAACCTAACCAAATGCCAATATAACCTAACCAACATCCAACATAACCTAACCAAATGCCAATATAACCTAACCAACATCCAACATAACCTAACCAAATGCCAATATAACCTAACCAACATCCAACATAACCTAACCAACAACCAACATAACCTAACCAACAACCAACATAACCTAACCAACATAACCTAACCAATAGCCAACATAACCTAACCAACAACCCACATAACCTAACCAACATAACCTAACCAATAGCCAACATAACCTAACCAACATAACCTAACCAACAGCCAACATAATCTAACCAACAACCAACATAACCTAACCAACATAACCTAACCAACAACCAACATAACCTAACCAACAACCAACATAACCTAACCAGCAGCCAACATAACTTAACCAACAACCAACATAACCTAACCAATAGCCAACATAACCTAACCAACATAACCTAACCAACAACCAACATAACCTAACCAATAGCCAACATAACATAACCAACAACCAACATAACCTAACCAACAACCAACATAACCTAACCAACATAACCTAACCAATAGCCAACATAACCTAACCAACAACCAACATAACCTAACCAACAACCAACATAACCTAACCAATAGCCAACATAACCTAACCAACAACCAACATAACCTAACCAACAACCAACATAACCTAACCAACATAACCTAACCAACAGCCAACATAACCTAACCAACATAACCTAACCAACATAACCTAACCAACATCCAACATAACCTAACCAACAACCAACATAACCTAACCAGCAGCCAACATAACCTAAGCAACATAACCTAACCAACAACCAACATAACCTAACCAGCAGCCAACATAACCTAACCAACATAACCTAACCAACATCCAACATAACCTAACCAACAACCAACATGACCTAACCAACAACCAACATAACCTAACCAACATCCAACATAACCTAACCAACAACCAACATAACCTAACCAACAACCAACATGACCTAACCAACAACCAACATAACCTAACCAACATCCAACATAACCTAACCAACATCCAACATAACCTAACCAACAGCCAACATAACCTAACCAACATAACCTAACCAACAGCCAACATAACCTAACCAACATCCAACATAACCTAACCAACAGCCAACATAACCTAACGAAGCCAGCCCACTTAGACACCTAGCTTGTATACAACTCAAATCAATCAACCAAAATAGCTGGGTCTAAGAGAGACAAGTACTTTCAGGATCCTAATTAGCCTGCCATTGCTGTCCAAAGGTCGATGACCTTGAAAACGAAAGGGTTCCATCAAAGCTGACCCCAATCAGCCACCGTTGGTCACGTGTGGAGGTAATGACGCGGAACGGCGCGTGACGGACAGATCTATATCCGTCATCTGACATGACGCATGACGCGACACGACAAGAGAGTCAGTGACCCTGGTGGTACCAGTGTTTCTCAAAACATCCCTCTGTGTGTGTGTGAGTGTGAGTGTATGTGTGTGTATGAGTGTGTGTGTGGGAGTGGGAGTGAGCTGTGTGCGTACGTACGTGTGTGTATGCGTTTGTGTGTGTGAGTGTGAGTGGATGAGCTATGTGCGTGTGTGTATGTGTGCGTGTGTGTGTATGTGTGTGTGTGTGTGCGTGTGTGTGTATGTGTGTGTGTGTGTGTGGTACTTGAACCTCATTAATTGAACTGTTTACACAATCGCTTTGACAAACATAACTCTGATTCGTATAATTTGTGAGGCAAAATCTTATAAATAGATTTCTAAATCGACCAATCGGTCACTTAAAACTCGATTATTGAGATGGCTCTAATTTCACCGGTAAAATGAGAGTTTACAGCAAACTTTGTCATGAACAATTTCCCTGCAACTTACTTGCAAGTACCCGATTTAATAGGTGTGGGTAAGAAACAAACAAACAAACAAGACCTACTTTGCTTTTATAGTTTGAAGATTATTTAAAATAACTCGATACCATTATGCCAAACAATTTGATATTTATAAAAGATCGAAAGGAAAAGAAACGAGGAAAGTCATGGGTTTAAAAATTAAGATAAAATGTTGATTTTTTATAATGAGGATAAGCTTCAACGAATCTCGCGATAATTTGTCGCAATAATTTGTCGCGATAATTTGTCGCGATAATTTGTCGCGATAATTTGTCGCGATAATTTGCCGCGATAATTTGTCGCGATAATTTGTCGCGATAATTTGTCTCGATAATTTGTCGCGATAATTTGTCTCGATACTTTGTCGCGATAATTTGTCGCGATAATTTGTCGCGATAATTTGTCGCAATAATTTGTCGCGATAATTTGTCGCGATAATTTGTCGCGATAATTTGTCGCGATAATTTGCCGCGATAATTTGTCGCGATAATTTGTCTTGTGTTTTTAAAGCCACTTATCCCCCTCACTTTCTTGTCTTTGTGGCCACGTATGGCAATCTTCTAATTATTCGATCTAGATTAGACGGGATGCTGTTCTCAGGCTATAGGCCTCGCCAAACAGTTTTTTAATGTGGTTAATCGACAAAGTGTGTGGAACAAAAAATTTCCGACCACAAAAAATCCTTTTAGCCTGTGATTGAAACAAAAACCTTCCATTTTGTGAAAAAGATTTTCTAATTAATTGTTTTCTTTTGGAGAAAGATGCAAATCGCAGCCTTACCCCCCCCCCCCCCTCCACGCTGATAGCTCTGACCAGTGGCTATTTATCTGGCTAAATGAGATAACCGGTTATGTTCCCAGGTGTTGACTTTACATCGGTTTAGAACATGACATCACTAGTTAAATGACAATGGCATCAACAGTATATGACATCATTAGTTAAATGACAATGGCATCAACACTACATGACATCATGAGTTAAATGACAATTGCATCAACACTACATGACATCATTAGTTAAATGACAATGATATCAATAATACATGCCATCATTAGTTAAATGACAATAACATCAGCAGTACATGACATCATTAGCACTCCTCCCCCCCCCCCCCCACCCCGCCACCGCCAGAGATCAAAGAAAACATTCTGAGAGCCACATGAGGACGTGACTGTGATAATTGGACATTGTGCTGGGTTTTCCCGCCATTATTTCACGTCTGGTGGCCTGAGGGATCAACCCCCCCACACACATACCCCCCCCCCCCCCCCAAAGTTTTCTCACTGGCACGGCGGGTAAGCCAGGGGCAATTACTGTTATAAAAAAAGTTGTGGACAATTTTTGACCAACGTTGGTGTATGGCAGGTGTTAGCTACGTCTCTAAGGTAGTGACGTCAATAGGACTGAGGCTGCTCCCAATGAAGTCATAAGGACTGAATTTGGACACAGTGACGTCATAAGGACTGAGGCTGGACCCAATGACGTCATAAGGACCCATTGACTCTGGGACTAACATAAACCACAAGACGACGCAACCATCGAACATTCATTATTTTTTTTCTTCCACTGTTATATTTATTTTTTAAATTTTTATTTTCCGTTAATGATGTCACTGTCATAAGATTAGACAGACCTTTCTATTTAGTTTTGCTGCTTGTTTACAAATGTTGAGTGAATGTTCTTAGAAAAACTGCAATCTTTAACTGGCAAAAGAAATCATTCATTCACTTTTCTAAAAGGATAAGAAAACCCCCAGTTTTCTGTGATTAAAACGGACATGATGTTCTAGAACATTCTCGTTATATGAGTTAATCCAAAGATTGTCACATATTTAGAAATTAAAAATCAAAATATGGAGTCACATGACTTCTACTTTTTCACATTTATTGAACATTATTTTATCCTAGTTATATTTAGCATATTTATAGTGCAGGTTCTTGAGAAGACTTTAGCAGGCACCAATTCCGCAGCCACAAATTCTGGAGACCAAAAAATCGGCATATAAAAATTTCCGCATACAAAAATTCCGCATACAAAAATCCCGCATGACTTCTACTTTTTCACATTTATTGAACATTATTTTATCCTAGTTATATTTAGCATATTTATAGTGCAGGTTCTTGAGAAGACTTTAGCAGGCACCAATTCCGCAGCCACAAATTCTGGAGACCAAAAAATCCGCATATAAAAATTTCCGCATACAAAAATTCCGCATACAAAAATCCCGCAGTCGCAAATTCCGCAAACACAAATTCCGCAGACACAAATTCCGCAGACGAAAATTCCACAGACAAAAATTCCGCAGATACATATTCAACGAACACAAATTCCGCAAACACAAATTCCGCAGACCCAAATTCCGCATACAAAAACCCTGCAGTCGCAAACACAAATTCCGCAGACCCAAATTCCGCAAACACAAATTCCGCAGACCCAAATTCCGCATACAAAAACCCCGCAGTCGCAAACACAAATTCCGCAGACCCAAATTCCGCAAACACAAATTCCGCAGACCCAAATTCCGCATACAAAAACCCCGCAGTCGCAAACACAAATTCCTTAGACCCATTATGTTGATCCCCAGATGTTCCGTGCCATAGCTCTCATGCTAATTCCTCTAATGGCACTGGTCAGTCTGGCCTGCTACTGGATGGTCACAAACGTCATCGTCAAGAGTGACCTTGAGAACGACAAGGTCATGGTCAACAGGGGTCAGACTGTAGGTAAGTACAACATCTAGCGTGTTTTGGTCATCAACATCCATCAGTGGTTGTGCTTCATGTTTCTGTAAATATTGTAAACACGAACACCCATGCATAGACAACACACCTGCATAAATAACACACCTGCATGGACAACACACTTGCATAAATAACACACCTAGACAAATGACACAGATGCTCAAGTACTTGAAAGCCAAAGAATTTTAAAATGTTTTTACATAATTATTGGTGCTTTAATTAACTGATATTCATGACATTTAGTCATTTGATGGCCCACCATATAATGGCCCACCATGTGATGGCCCGTCATATGATGGCCCACCATGTGACGGCCCACCATGTGATGGCCCACCATATAATGGCACACCATGTGATGGCCCAACATGTGACGGCCCAACATGTGATGGCCCACCATATAATGGCACACCATGTGATGGCCCACCATGTGACGGCCCAACATGTGATGGCCCACCATGTGACGGCCCAACATGTGATGGCCCACCATGTGACGGCCCAACATGTGATGGCCCGCCATATGATGGCCCACCATGTGATGGCCCAACATGTGATGGCCCGCCATATGATGGCCCAACATGTGATGGCCCACCATGTGATGGCCCAACATGTGATGGTCCGCCATATTATGGCCCAACATGTGATGGCCCAACATGTGATGGCCCACCATGTGATGGCCCAACATGTGATGGCCCACCATGTGATGGCCCAACATGTGATGGCCCGCCATATGATGGCCCAACATGCGATGGCCCACCATGTGATGACCCAACATGTGATGGCCCGCCATATGATGGCCCAACATGTGATGGCCCAACATGTGATGGCCCAACATGTGCTGGCCCAACATGTGATGGCCCACCATGTGATGGCCCAACATGTGATGGCCCAACATGTGATGGCCCGCCATATGTTGGCCCACCATCTGATGGCCCACCATGTGATGGCCCCCTATGTCTCCACAGGGAGCGTGGCCTACGCCCTCCAGCTGGAACGGGCCAGCGTGATGTACGCACTGGAGGAGAGGAACGTCTCGTTGGTGGGGGACCGCTTCAATGTAGGTCAAGGTCATGTGGGGGATGGGGGGGGGGGGAACCGCTTCAATGTAGGTCAAGGTCATGGGGATGGTGGGGGCCGCTTCAATGTAGGTCAAGGTCATGGGGGGGCTGGTGGGGGGCCGCTTCAATGTAGGTCATGTGGGTGTGGGTGGGGGGGGGGGGTGGTGGGGGACCGCTTCAATGTAGGTCAAGGTCATGGGGGAATGGTGGGGGCCGCTTCAATGTAGGTCAAGGTCATGGGGGGGGCTGGTGGGGGGCCGCTTCAATGTAGGTCATGTGGGTGGGGGTGGGGGGGGGGGGGCTGGTGGGGGACCGCTTCAATGTAGGTCATGTGTGTGTGGGGGGGGGGGGGGGCGCTTCAATGTAGGTCAAGGTCATGGGGGCGGTGGGGGACCGCTTCAATGTAGGTCAAGGTCATGGTGGGCTGGTAGGGGGGGGGGTCGCTTCAATGTAGGTCAAGGTCATGGGGGCTGGTGGGGGACCTCTTCAATGTAGGTCATGTGGGGGACTGCTTCAATGTAGGTCATGTGGGGGGGGGCGCTTCAACGTAGGTCATGTGGGGGGGACCGCTTCAATGTAGGTCATGTGGGGGGGGGGGAGGGTAGGAGTGGGGGACCGCTTCAATGTAGGTCATGTGGGGGGCGCTTCAATGTAGGTCATGTGGGGGGAGGGTGGGAGTGGGGGACCGCTTCAATGTAGGTCATGTGGGGGGACCGCTTCAATGTAGGTCATGTGGGGGACTGCTTCAATGTAGGTCATGTGGGGGGACCGCTTCAATGTAGGTCATGTGGGGTGACCGCTTCAATGTAGGTCATGTGGGGGGGGCGCTTCAATGTAGGTCATGTGGAGGGGGGAGGGGAGAGGGGGTAGGTGGGTTGCAGGGCAGTGGGTGGGTGGTGGGTGGGTTGTGGGTGGGTTGTGCTATTTAAATATTCTCACACACCTGTCTCTTACACACCTGTCTCTGACACACCTGTCTGTAACACATCTGTCTGTAACACACCTGTATCTGACACACCTGTCTCTAACACACCTGTCTGTAACACACCTGTCTGTAACACATCTGTCTGTAACACACCTGTCTCTTACACACCAGTCTCTAACACACCTGTCTGTAACACACCTGTCTCTGACACACCAGTCTCTAACACACCTGTCTGTAACACACCTGTCTCTGACACACCTGTCTCAAACACACCTGTATCTGACACACCTGTCTGTAACACACCTGTCTCTAACACACCTGTCTCTAACACACCTGTCTCTAACACACCTGTCTCAAACACACCTGTATCTGACACACCTGTCTGTAACACACCTGTCTCTAACACACCTGTCTGTAACACACCTGTATCTGACACACCTGTCTCTAACACACCTGTCTGTAACACACCTGTCTGTAACACATCTGTCTGTAACACACCTGTATCTGACACACCTGTCTCTAACACACCTGTCTGTAACACACCTGTCTGTAACACATCTGTCTGTAACACACCTGTATCTGACACACCTGTCTCTAACACACCTGTCTGTAACACACCTGTCTGTAACACATCTGTCTGTAACACACCTGTATCTGACACACCTGTCTGTAACACACCTGTCTCTAACACACCTGTCTGTAACACACCTGTATCTGACACACCTGTCTCTAACACACCTGTCTGTAACACACCTGTCTGTAACACACCTGTCTGTAACACACCTGTCTCTAACACACTTGTACATGCCACCAGAACACAGACAAGGCCATCCGAGAGTCAGCCTCCTACCCCACTAAATGTTTCGCTGACCCTGAGGTTTTCATCCTGCAACTCTGGGAGCACAGGAACCAGATCGTCATGAACACAACCATCAAGTCCACTCACAACGAGGTTGGCTACTACAGGTAGGTCAGTGGGCTACTACAGGTAGGTCAATGGGCTAGTACAGGTAGGTCAGTGGGCTACTACAGGTAGGTCAGTGGGCTACTACAGGTAGGGCAATGGGCTAGTACAGGTAGGTCAGTGGGCTACTACAGGTAGGTCAGTGGGCTACTACAGGTAGGTCAGTGGGCTAGTAAAGTTAGGTCAGTGGGCTACTACAAGTAGGTCAGTGGGCTACTACAGTCAGGTCAGTGGGTTAATGACCTTTATAGATTACTTTAACTCTCCCAGCGAGTCTTCGAAATGTTTTAACCTTGACCCATGACCTCTCGTGACCTCGCGTGACCCCGTATAATCTCTACCAACTCTTTACTTACAATTCACGTCCGACGGACGAAAATTGGATCTGTCAAACAGTTGATGAGATCGTTGAATGACCTGGACTTATGATTTCTATTAAGTCTAGGTCACCCGCCTCCATTTCATATTCCTCCATGACAGCTGATTAAAGGCGTACATGGGGGGGGGGGGGGGGCTCTACCGCCCTGGGCCAAGGCAGATCTTCACTATTTACAATTTGTATGGGGGAAAGGGGGGATGGTTATGAATCTGTGACGTCAGAAACTGAAAGACAAAAAAAAGTTTGGCTGACACAAGATATGGGGTGGCTGCTGGCTGTATGCTGGCTGTATGCTGTATGCTGGCTGTGTGCTGGCTGTATGCTGTATGCTGGCTGTATGCTGACTGTATGCTGGCTGTATGCTGGCTGTATGCTGGCTGTATGCTGGCTGTATGCTGGCTGTATGATGGCTGTATGATGGCTGTATGCTGGCTGTATGCTGGCTGTATGCTGGCTGTATGCTGTATGCTGGCTGTGTGCTGGCTGTATGCTGTATGCTGGCTGTATGCTGTATGCTGGCTGTATGCTGACTGTATGCTGGCTGTATGCTGGCTGTATGCTGGCTGTATGCTGGCTGTATGCTGGCTGTATGCTGGCTGTATGCTGGCTGTATGCTGGCTGTATACTGTATGCTGGCTGTATGGTGGCTGTATGCTGGCTGTATGTTGGCTGTATGCTGGCTGTATACTGTATGCTGGCTGTATGGTGGCTGAATGCTGGCTGTATGCTGGCTGTATGCTGGCTGTATGGTGGCTGTATGCTGGCTGTATGCTGGCTGTATGCTGGCTGTATGCTGGCTGTATGCTGAATGCTGGTTTTATGCTGGCTGTATGCTGGCTGTATGCTGTCTGTATGCTGGCTGTATGCTGTCTGTATGCTGAAGGCTGGTTTTATGCTGGCTGTATGCTGGCTGTATGCTGTCTGTATGCTGGCTGTATGCTGTCTGTATGCTGAATGCTGGTTTTATGCTGGCTGTATGCTGGCTGTATGCTGTCTGTATGCTGGCTGTATGCTGTCTGTATGCTGAATGCTGGTTTTATGCTGGCTGTATGCTGGCTGTATGCTGTCTGTATGCTGGCTGTATGCTGTCTGTATGCTGAATGCTGGTTTTATGCTGGCTGTATGCTGGCTGTATGCTGTCTGTATGCTGAATGCTGGTTTTATGCTGGCTGTATGCTGGCTGTATGCTGTCTGTATGCTGGCTGTATGCTGTCTGTATGCTGAATGCTGGTTTTATGCTGGCTGTATGCTGGCTGTATGCTGGCTGTATGCTGTCTGTATGCTGAATGCTGGTTTTATGCTGCATACTGGCTGTATTCCGCTTGATACAATTCATTGTTAATTGGCGTTTTACACCCCCCCCCTTTCGCTGCTGTCTAACTGTCCACAGCCGTTTCACCAAGTTCTATTCCCCACAGCCGTTTCACCAAGTTCTAAAACTATTCCCCACAGCCGTTTCACCAAGTTCTATTCCCCACAGCCGTTTCACCAAGTTCTAAAACTATTCCCAACAGCCGTTTTACCAAGTTCTAAAACTATTCCCCACAGCCGTTTTACCAAGTTCTAAAACTATTCCCCACAGCCGTTTCACCAAGTTCTATTCCCCCCAGCCGTTTCACCAAGTTCTAAAACTATTCCCCACAGCCGTTTTACCAAGTTCTAAAACTATTCCCCACAGCCGTTTCACCAACTTCTAAAACTATTCCCCACAGCCGTTTTACCAAGTTCTAAAACTATTCCCCACAGCCGTTTCACCAAGTTCTATTCCACACAGCCGTTTCACCAAGTTCTATTCCCCCACAGCCGTTTCACCAAGTTCTATTCCCCACAGCCGTTTCACCAAGTTCTATTCCCCCACAGCCGTTTCACCAAGTTCTGTTCCCCACAGCCGTTTCACCAAGTTCTATTCCCCCACAGCCGTTTCACCAAGTTCTATTCCCCACAGCCGTTTCACCAAGTTCTATTCCACACAGCCGTTTCACCAAGTTCTATTCCCCACAGCCAATTCACCAAGTTCTATATCCCACAGCCGTTTCACCAAGTTCTATATCCCACAGCCGTTTCACCAAGTTCTATATCCCACAGCCGTTTCACCAAATTCTATTCCCCACAGCCGTTTCACCAAGTTCTATTCCCCACAGCCGTTTCACCAAGTTCTATATCCCACAGCCGTTTCACCAAGTTCTATTCCCCACAGCCGTTTCACCAAGTTCTATTCCCCACAGCCGTTTCACCAAGTTCTATATCCCACAGCCGTTTCACCAAGTTCTATTCCCCACAGCCGTTTCACCAAGTTCTATTCCCCACAGCCGTTTCACCAAGTTCTAAAACTATTCCCCACAGCCGTTTCACCAAGTTCTAAAACTATTTCCCACAGCCGTTTCACCAAGTTCTAAAACTATTCCCCACAGCCGTTTCACCAAGTTCTATTCCCCACAGCCGTTTCACCAAGTTCTATTCCCCACAGCCGTTTCACCAAGTTCTATTCCCCACAGCCGTTTCACCAAGTTCTATTCCCCACAGCCGTTTTACCAAGTTCTATTCCCCACAGCCGTTTCACCAAGTTCTAAATCCCACAGCCGTTTCACCAAGTTCTATTCCCCACAGCTGTTTCACCAAGTTCTATTCCCCACAGCCGTTTCACCAAGTTCTATTCCCCACAGCTGTTTCACCAAGTTCTAAATCCCACAGCCGTTTCACCAAGTTCTATTCCCCACAGCCGTTTCACCAAGGTCTATTCCCCACAGCCGTTTCACCAAGTTCTATATCCCACAGCCGTTTCACCAAGTTCTATTCCCCACAGCCGTTTCACCAAGTTCTATTCCCCACAGCCGTTTCACCAAGTTCTATTTCCCACAGCCGTTTCACCAACTGTTTCCTGGAGGTGCTGATGGGTCTGGCCAAAGACATGAACCACGGGAGTGTCTGGCAGGATTACGTCAGCTACAAGATGATGTTGAAGGCCCAGGAGAGCGTGGGCGTGCTGCTGTCTGTTGGCATCTCGTTCTTTGAGGTTTGTTTCTACTGAGATGTCTGCCTTTACCAGTCTGTCTTTACCTGTCTTCCTTTACCTGTCTGTCTTTACCTGTCTGTCTTTACCTGTCTGTCTTTACCTGTCTGCCTTTACCTGTCTGTCTTTACCTGTCTACCTTTACCTGTCTACCTTTACCTGTCTGTCTTTACATGTCTGTCTTTACCCGTCTGTCTTTACCTGTCTGCCTTTACCTGTCTACCTTTACCTGTCTACCTTTACCTGTCTGTCTTTACATGTCTGTCTTTACCTGTCTGTCTTTACCTGTCTGCCTTTACATGTCTGTCTTTACCTGTCTGCCTTTACCTGTCTGTCTTTACCTGTCTGTCTTTACATGTCTGTCTTTACCTGTCTGCCTTTACCTGTCTGTCTTTACCTGTCTGTCTTTACCTGTCTGTCTTTACCTGTCTGTCTTTACCTGTCTGCCTTTACATGTCTGTCTTTACCTGTCTGCCTTTACCTGTCTGTCTTTACCTGTCTGTCTTTACATGTCTGTCTTTACCTGTCTGTCTTTACCTGTCTGTCTTTACCTGTCTGCCTTTACCTGTCTGTCTTTACCTGTCTGTCTTTACCTGTCTGCCTTTACCTGTCTGTCTTTACCTGTCTACCTTTACCTGTCTGCCTTTACCTGTCTGCCTTTACCTGTCTGCCTTTACTTGTCTGTCTTTACCTGTCTGCCTTAACCTGTCTACCTTTACCTGTCTGCCTTTACCTGTCTACCTTTACCTGTCTGTCTTTACCTGTCTGACTTACATGTACATAAGATGACTCACATTGTGACCATTTGTTACACGGCTGTTGTTGTTTTGGAGGTCCGTGTAATAGCTTGGACAATTTTTTTTCCCTATATGGGTTATTTCCATCATCTTTCCTCCCTCCCCAGGTGGGTAACTTGGTGCTCTCCTCCCCTCCCCAGGTGTGTAATTTAATGCCCCCCCTCCCCTCCCCAGGTAGGTAACTTAATGTCCCCCCTCCCCTCCCCAGGTGGGCTACCTGTCAGAGCGTGACTACAACTTGCTAAAGGCTGAGGACGTGGCCTCCGAGAAGTATCTGGAGATCGCCATGCTCTTCTCGCCCTTCGCTGCCAGACTGTACGAGGACTTTAATAGGTCAAGGTCAGAGATCTTCCAGGACATGGAGGAGTACAAGGTCATTTGGAAGGTACTTCCGGTCTTGAGAGTTTATTGATGTATTTGTAACTAGTCAACCGTGACAGTCCTTGAGGCACATATGTTACGTCATAAAATGCCTAGTTCGTGACGTCATCGAATCGGTTGCCTAGTTGCAAATACATCAATACATCAAATACATCAAATACATTAAATACACCAAATACACAAAAGAAATCGTACCTCCTCTAAATAAAACTACCTTAACTCCCCTACATAAAACAAACATCACCCCCCCCCCTTACACAAAACAAACCTTACCTCCTCTTACATAAAACAAATCTTACCTCCCCTACATAAAAGAAACCTTACCTCCCCAACATAAAACAAATCTTACCTCCCCTACTTAAAACACACATTACCTCCCCTACATAAAAGAAATCTTACCTCCCCTACATAAAACAAACATTACCTCCCCTACATAAAACAAACATTACCTCCCCTACATAAAACAAACATTACCTCCCCTACATAAAACAAACATTACCTCCCCTACATAAAACAAACATTACCTCCCCTACATAAAACAAACATTACCTCCCCTACATAAAACAAACATTACCCCCCCTACATAAAACAAACATTACCTCCCCTACAAAAAATAAACCTTACCTCCCCTACATAAAACAAACATTACCTCCCCTACATAAACAAATTTTGCCTACAAGAAATGATTACGTCCCCTTACAGCAGAACAATGTGTCTGACCCGAGTCCCGAGAAGGGGAGACGATTCCACAAAAGTGTCAAAGGATATTTTAAACTGTTGGCCAACATCAGCAAGGAGCTCAGCAATAAGGTAAACATTTTCTCTAAGGTAAACATTTTCTCTAAGGTAAACATTTTCTCTAAGGTAAACATTTTCTCTAAGGTAAACATTTTCTCTAAGGTAAACATATTCTCTAAGGTAAACATTTTCTCTAAGGTAAACATTTTCTCTAAGGTAAACATTTTCTCTAAGGTAAACATTTTCTCTAAGGTAAACATTTTCTCTAAGGTAAACATTTTCTCTAAGGTAAACATATTCTCTAAGGTAAACATTTTCTCTAAGGTAAACATTTTCTCTAAGGTAAACATTTTCTCTAAGGTAAACATTTTCTCTAACTCACTCAAAGGTAAACATTTTCTCTTAACTCTCTCAGGTTTCTTTCATATCTCAGTGAAAGCTAAAACCCCCAAAATGTATCCCCCCCCCCCCCCTCCCGTCATTTATTTATTCTCTGACAATGTTACCAGGAAATCAAAGATGTTGAAAATTGTTCTATTTTCGGCGTGTAAAGTGCTAACCATCAAACAGCAACTTTCAATTGTTTCGTGTTATTTGATTTGCAAGTTGTGTTTTTTCTTTAACAATACGTTTCATCTAGGAATTTTAAAAAGCTAAAACTAAATTCACTATTGATTTACATGTTAAGAATGAAAGATGAAGCCGAGGATTTAACAACGAATTGGTGATTGAACTAAAAAGTTGATGAGTTTCTGATGTTGCAGGTGATTGAAAAAGTTGATGAGGAAATCGCCACGTCAATCAACATGATGGTGGTGGCATGTATGGTGTTCATCTGTGTCCTCATCATGACACCAATACTGGTCAAACTCATGCACACCTTGACCATGTCCATTCAGGTGAGACAAACTCATGCCCAGAACTAGCACCCCCCCCCCCCCCTTATGTTCCAGAACTAACCCCCCCCCCTTATGTTCCAGAACACCCCCCCCCCCCCCTTATGTTTTAGAACTAACCCCCCCCCCCTAATGTTCCGGAACTAACCCCCCCCCCGTTATGTTCCAGAACTAACCCCCCCCCTTATGTTCCAGAACTAACCCCCCCCCCCCTTATGTTCCAGAACTAACCCCTCCCCTTATGTTCCAGAACTACGCCATCGAGGCCTCCCACAAGTCCCAGCAGCTGATCATAGAGAAACAGCGCTCAGACAGTCTGCTGTACCAGATGTTGCCCAAGTCCGTGGCCCAGCAGCTCAAGATGCACAAAACGGTTAACGCAGAATTTTATGAGCAGGTTTGTTTTGCGGTCAAAGGGAAACAACCGCACAAAAACAATTTGAATTTGAAAGAATTTGGTTATTTCCCTTGCACGCTGAAAACTAAAAATGTCATCTCTTCCTACAGGTGACCTTGTTCTTCAGTGACATTGTCGGCTTCACCGAGATCTCTGCGGCCAGCTCACCTTTACAGGTGGTGACTTTAATCTTATCTCATTAGCTTAATTAACAGATAATTGGTGACCCTTTTTAAATTAAATTGCTTTTTTTATAAAGTAGTACTTGCCGTCTTTAGCAAATTCTTAAAACAACCAAATGGTGACCTCATGAGACTGTTGACAGGTGGTGACTTTCCACTTTGCAGGTGGTGATATGTGGTGACTTTTCCTTCTACAGGTGGTGATCCTACTGAACAAGCTGTACCAAATCTTTGACGACATACTTGACCACTATGACGTGTACAAGGTGGAAACTATTGGGGATGCTTACATGGTGGTCAGTGGGCTACCTAACAGGTGGGTCAGTGGGTCAGTGGGTCAGTGGGTCAGTGGGTCAGTGGGTCAGTGGGTCAGTGGGCTACCTAACAGGTGGGTCAGTGGGTCAGTGGGTCAGTGGGTCAGTGGGTCAGTGGGCTACCTAATAGGTGGGTCAGTGGGTCAGTGGGTCAATGGGCTACCTAACAGGTGGGTCAGTGGGCTACCTAACAGGTGGGTCAGTGGGCTACCTAACAGGTGGGTCAGCGGGCTACCTAACAGGTGGGTCAGTGGGCTACCTAACAGGTGGGTCAGCGGGCTACCTAACAGGTGGGTCAGTGGGTCAGTGGGTCAGTGGGTCAGTGGGTCAGTGGGTCAGTGGGTCAGTGGGTCAGTGGGTCAGTGGGTCAGTGGGTCAGTGGGTCAGTGGGCTACCTAACAGGTGGGTCAGTGGGTCAGTGGGTCAATGGGCTACCTAACAGGTGGGTCAGTGGGCTACCTAACAGGTGGGTCAGTGGGCTACCTAACAGGTGGGTCAGTGGGTCAGTGGGTCAGTGGGCTACGTAACAGTTGGGTCAGTGGGTCAGTGGGTCAGTGGGTCAGTGGGTCAGTGGGCTACCTAACAGGTGGGTCAGTGGGTCAGTGGGTCAGTGGGTCAGTGGGTCAGTGGGCTACCTAACAGGTGGGTCAGTGGGTCAGTGGGTCAGTGGGTCAGTGGGTCAGTGGGCTACCTAACAGGTGGGTCAGTGGGTCAGTGGGTCAATGGGCTACCTAACAGGTTAGTCAGTGGGCTACCTAACAGGTGGGTCAGTGGGCTACCTAACAGGTGGGTCAGTGGGTCAGTGGGTCAATGGGCTACCTAACAGGTGGGTCAGTGGGCTACCTAACAGGTGGGTCAGTGGGCTACCTAACAGGTGGGTCAGTGGGCTACCTAACAGGTGGGTCAGTGGGCTACCTAACAGGTGGGTCAGTGGGCTACCTAACAGGTGGGTCAGTGGGTCAGTGGGTCAATGGGTCAGTGGGTCAGTGGGCTACCTAACAGGTGGGTCAGTGGGCTACCTAACAGGTGGGTCAGTGGGCTACCTAACAGGTGGGTCAGTGGGCTACCTAACAGGTGGGTCAGTGGGCTACCTAACAGGTGGGTCATTTGGCTATCTAACAGGTGGGTCAGTGGGCTACCTAACAGGTGGGTCAGTGGGTCAGTGGGCTACCTAACAGGTTGGTCAGCGGGTCAGTGGGCTACCTAACAGGTGGGTCAGTGGGCTACCTAACAGGTGGGTCATTTGGCTATCTAACAGGTGGGTCAGTGGGCTACCTAACAGGTGGGTCAGTGGGTCAGTGGGCTACCTAACAGGTGGGTCAGTGGGCTACCTAACAGGTGGGTCAGTGGGTCAGTGGGCTACCTAACAGGTGGGTCAGTGGGTCAGTGGGTCAGTGGGTCAGTGGGCTACCTAACAGGTGGGTCAGTGGGTCAGTGGGTCAGTGGGCTACCTAACAGGTGGGTCAGTGGGTCAGTGGGTCAATGGGCTACCTAACAGGTGGGTCAGTGGGCTACCTAACAGGTGGGTCAGTGGGCTACCTAACAGGTGGGTCAGTGGGTCAGTGGGTCAATTGGCTACCTAACAGGTGGGTCAGTGGGCTACCTAACAGGTGGGTCAGTGGGCTACCTAACAGGAGGGTCAGTGGGCTACCTAACAGGTGGGTCAGTGGGCTACCTAACAGGTGGGTCAGTGGGCTACCTAACAGGTGGGTCAGTGGGTCAGTGGGCTACCTAACAGGTGGGTCAGTGGGCTACCTAACAGGTGGGTCAGTGGGCTACCTAACAGGTGGGTCAGTGGGTCAGTGGGTCAATGGGTCAGTGGGTCAGTGGGCTACCTAACAGGTGGGTCAGTGGGCTACCTAACAGGTGGGTCAGTGGGCTACCTAACAGGTGGGTCAGTGGGCTACCTAACAGGTGGGTCAGTGGGCTACCTAACAGGTGGGTCAGTGGGCTACCTAACAGGTGGGTCAGTGGGTCAGTGGGCTACCTAACAGGTGGGTCAGTGGGCTACCTAACAGGTGGGTCAGTGGGTCAGTGGGCTACCTAACAGGTGGGTCAGTGGGCTACCTAACAGGTGGGTCAGTGGGCTACCTAACAGGTGGGTCAGTGGGCTACCTAACAGGTGGGTCAGTGGGCTACCTAACAGGTGGGTCAGTGGGCTACCTAACAGGTGGGTCAGTGGGCTACCTAACAGGTGAGTCAGTGCGTCAGCGGGCTACCTAACAGGTGGGTGAGTGGGCTACCTAACAGGTGGGTCAGTGGGTCAGTGGGCTACCTAACAGGTGGGTCAGTGGGTCAGCGGGCTACCTAACAGGTGGGTCAGTGGGTCAGTGGGCTACCTAACAGGTGGGTCAGTGGGCTACCTAACAGGTGGGTCAGTGGGTCAGTGGGCTACCTAACAGGTGGGTCAGTGGGCTACCTAACAGGTCGGTCAGTGGGCTACCTAACAGGTGGGTCAGTGGGCTACCTAACAGGTGGGTCAATGGGCTACCTAACAGGTGGGTCAGTGGGTCAGTGGTCTACCTAACAGGTAGTCAGTGGATCAGTGGGCTACCTAACAGGTGGGTCAGTGGGCTACCTAACAGGTGGGTCAGTGGGCTACCTAACAGGTGGGTCAGTGGGCTACCTAACAGGTGGGTCAGCGGGTCAGCGGGCTACCTAACAGGTGGGTCAGTGGGTCAGTGGGTCAGTGGGCTACCTAACAGGTGGGTCAGTGGGCTACCTAACAGGTGGGTCAGTGGGCTACCTAACAGGTGGGTCAGTGGGCTACCTAACAGGTGGGTCAGTGGGTCAGTGGGCTACCTAAAAGGTGGGTCAGTGGGCTACCTAACAGGTGGGTCAGTGGGCTACCTAACAGGTGGGTCAGTGGGTCAGTGGGTCAATGGGTCAGTGGGTCAGTGGGCTACCTAACAGGTGGGTCAGTGGGCTACCTAACAGGTGGGTCAGTGGGCTACCTAACAGGTGGGTCAGTGGGCTACCTAACAGGTGGGTCAGTGGGCTACCTAACAGGTGGGTCAGTGGGCTACCTAACAGGTGGGTCAGTGGGTCAGTGGGCTACCTAACAGGTGGGTCAGTGGGCTACCTAACAGGTGGGTCAGTGGGTCAGTGGGCTACCTAACAGGTGGGTCAGTGGGCTACCTAACAGGTGGGTCAGTGGGCTACCTAACAGGTGGGTCAGTGGGCTACCTAACAGGTGGGTCAGTGGGCTACCTAACAGGTGGGTCAGTGGGCTACCTAACAGGTGGGTCAGTGGGCTACCTAACAGGTGAGTCAGTGCGTCAGCGGGCTACCTAACAGGTGGGTGAGTGGGCTACCTAACAGGTGGGTCAGTGGGTCAGTGGGCTACCTAACAGGTGGGTCAGTGGGTCAGCGGGCTACCTAACAGGTGGGTCAGTGGGTCAGTGGGCTACCTAACAGGTGGGTCAGTGGGCTACCTAACAGGTGGGTCAGTGGGTCAGTGGGCTACCTAACAGGTGGGTCAGTGGGCTACCTAACAGGTCGGTCAGTGGGCTACCTAACAGGTGGGTCAGTGGGCTACCTAACAGGTGGGTCAATGGGCTACCTAACAGGTGGGTCAGTGGGTCAGTGGTCTACCTAACAGGTAGTCAGTGGGTCAGTGGGCTACCTAACAGGTGGGTCAGTGGGCTACCTAACAGGTGGGTCAGTGGGCTACCTAACAGGTGGGTCAGCGGGTCAGCGGGCTACCTAACAGGTGGGTCAGTGGGTCAGTGGGTCAGTGGGCTACCTAACAGGTGGGTCAGTGGGCTACCTAACAGGTGGGTCAGTGGGCTACCTAACAGGTGGGTCAGTGGGTCAGTGGGCTACCTAACAGATGGGTCCGTGGGCTACCTAACAGGTGGGTCAGCGGGCTACCTAACAGGTGGGTCAGTGGGTCAGTGGGTCAGTGGGCTACCTAACAGGTGGGTCAGCGAGCTACCTAACAGGTAAGATAGCGGGCTACCTAACAGACGGGTCAGCGGGCTACCTAACAGATGGGTCAGCGGGTCAGCGGGCTACCTAACAGGTGGGTCAGTGGGCTACCTAACAGGTGGGTTAGTGGGCTACCTAACAGGCGGGTCAGCGAACTACCTAACAGGTAAGTTAGCGGGCTACCTACAGCCAGGTTTAACAAGTTACTCTCCCCCCCCCCCCACCCAGGAACGGCAGCGCCCACTGTGCCGAGATCTCACTAATGGCGCTAGAACTTCTCAAGACGACCAGAGATTTTCCCATACCCCACATGCCGGGCAGGACGGTAGAGTTGAGGATTGGATGTCACTCAGGTCAGTGACACATGTCAGTGTCAGGGTCATATGTCAATGTCAGTGGCACACATCAATGTCACATGTTACGTGTCGTCGTCGGTTATCATGTCACATGTCACTGCCACATGTCAGTGTCCGTTGTCAGTGGCACATGTCAGTGTCAGGTGTCACTCAGGTCAGTGCTACATGTCAGTGTTAGATGTCAGGGTCATATGTCAATGTCAGTGGCACATGTCAGTGTCAGGTGTCCTTGTCGTAGTGTTGGTGTCATATGTCAGTCTCACGTGCCTTTTTATTGTGACTATATAAAGTATACAGGTCACATTTCTTGCTATATTATCTATATCCGCCCCTCACCCCCACCCCCCCCACCCCACCCCTCGTGTGTCCACAGGGTCAGCTGTAGCGGGTGTGGTCGGCAACAAAATGCCGAGGTACTGTTTGTTTGGTGACACAGTCAACACGGCCAGTAGGATGGAGTCACACGGACTACGTAAGTCAGAGTCACACGGTCTACGTAAGTCAGAGTCACACGGTCAACGTAAGTCAGAGTCACACGGTCTACGTAAGTCAGAGTCACACTGTCTACGTTAGTCAGAGTCACACGGACTACGTAAGTCAGAGTCACACGGTCTACGTAAGTCAGAGTCACACGGTCTACGTAAGTCAGAGTCACACTGTCTACGTTAGTCAGAGTCACACGGACTACGTAAGTCAGAGTCACACGGTCTACGTAAGTCAGAGTCACACGGTCTACGTAAGTCAGAGTCACACTGTCTACGTTAGTCAGAGTCACACGGACTACGTAAGTCAGAGTCACACGGTCTACGTAAGTCAGAGTCACACGGTCTACGTAAGTCAGAGTCACACAGTCTACGTTAGTCAGTCACACGGTCTACGTAAGTCAGAGTCACACGGTCTACGTAAGTCAGAGTCACACGGATTACGTAAGTCAGAGTCACATGGTTTACTTAAGTCAGAGTCATGTGACTAAGTCCGAGCCACACTTTTCTATTTTAAAATTGTTGCCCCCATTGTAAACGTAATTAAAATGTAATTATCATTAACGATCGCGGCCATTTTTCAGCCAACCGTATCCACATCAGTGTAGACATGAACAAGCTGCTGGTCAAAATACGAGGCTTCACCACAGAGAGGCGGGGGGTCATCGAGATCAAGGTGAGCTTGTTGGGGGTCATCGGGGTCAGGGCGAACTTGTTAGGGATCATCGGGGTCAGGCGAGCTTGTTGGGGGTCAAGGGGTCAGGGTGAGGTTGTTAGGGGGTCATCGAGATCAAGGTGAGATTTTTAGGGGTCATCGGGGTCAGGGTGAGCTTGTTTTGATATAGGTGGATGAACTAACTTTCACACGTTGAATGATCCCCTCCCTCCCCTCCCCATCCCCCCCCCCCCCCCCACCTTCCCCACACGGCTGATGTTTGTTGAACATCCGCAGGGTAAGGGCGAGATGGAGACCTACTGGCTGCTGGCCACTGACCGGCCACTCAGGACGTTGGCCAACGGGGTGGCCCTGCCTGACGTCACTAACAGCAGCGTCATCCTCAAGGTCAAGGCTACCAACCCCCAGAGGTCAGGACCCACCACACTCTCCCCGTCTCATCAAATGGCGTGGGGCGACTTCAACTCAGCTCTGTAGACGTGACCTCGTGATGTCGGCGTGATCACGTGATCTAGCCATGACCACGTGATCTAGCCATGACCACGTGATCTAGCCATGACCACGTGATCTAGCTGTGACCACGTGGAGTAGACGTGATCACGTGACTATTAAATGTAAATTTCTAAGTGCCGAAGTGTGATTTGCCCCTGTATAGTCGAACATTCCAGACCTGTTCTTAGTATGGAAGTGGAACTAGTGGAGTTGTTGGTGGAGTTGTTGGTGGATTTGTTGGTGGATTTGTTGGTGGATTTGTTGGTTGAGTTGTTGGTGGAGTTGTTGGTGGAGTTGTTGGTGGAGTTGTTGGTTGAGTTGTTGGAATTGGTGGAGTAGGTAGAGTTGGTGCTGGACATTGGCTGTTTGAGCCACTAGAGAGGGAACTAGATGACCACTGACATGGTGTAGCCACCTGACAGGATGTAGCCACCTCCACAGGGAACAGAAGATTCTGTAACTACTTCCAGCACCATAAAGAGAGTCGATTTTTATGGATTTATGACGGACACTAGTGCGTGTTAAAGTGGATACTATGGTGGATATTTTGGTGGATGTTATGGTGGACGTTATGGTGGACGTTCCACCAAAAATTAGGCGCCATTAACGATACAATTTCACGGTACAACCCTGGAGCTTTCCGTGACCTTGACCTCAACGATGTGAAATAACGATGAGTGGGTTTAACGTGCCCACGTGCCCAGCATAAAAATATTTGAATCACGTGATTACCTACCAGACAATAGCAAACTTGAATTTTCTGAGACTGCCACCCCCCCCCCCCCCAACAAAAAGAAAATTTGCTAGAAGCCAAATAACTTATTATGTACAGCGGTTATATATATATATATATATATATATATATATATATATATATATATATATATATATATATATATATATATATATATATATATCATTTAGGTAAAATAAACATATACATTTATTTTAATGTAATCAACGTGTATGATGGGAGAAGTTATTGTTGGATGTTTCTATGTAACGTGTTTTAATTTTGTTCCATGTTTTGTACAGCACACAAGGGAAGCAACAATGAAATTATAATGTGTTTTTTTTTGCCATCGATTGTTAGCTCCCTTTGTAAAAAAAATTATGTCTTCTTAAATGTCTTCTTAAATTATGTCTTCTTAAAGCAATTTGGACAAGTCGGTTGACCTGTTGTAAACAGTTGTTGTTGCTAGCCTCAATATACAAGCTGTGATCGTTGTGACATTCAACTTTGTAATATATAATTTTGTGACATATAATTTTGCGACGTATAATTTTTTGTGTGAAATATAATTGTGATATAATTTGTGACCTTTAATTTTGTGACGTAAAATTTTTAACGCAATTTCCATTCTGGAGAATTGCGTTTATTAACCCGTCATTTCTGGATGTATGAATGTATGAATGTATGAATGGATGGATGTGTGTCCGCAGCTTTAAGTCGTATCTCCTCCTCAACGAAGCAATATCGATGACTAGTTCCAAAAGCAATTATGTTAAGCAAGTTACGAGGATGAACATAGGCTATAAAAATTCCGGGTTTCTTTCATGGATTTCCCGGAAAAGCCAAAAAACCTCGAAAAAAAGCAGTTTTTAGCCCATATCTCGGCAACCAGACCACTTAGCGACTTGAAACATGTACCAATCGATTCCTGCCATAATTTAGAACAATATTGCCGAAGAAAGTTTTCAAAAATATCCTTTCGTTCGGTCACAAAAAATTTTTTGAATTAATTAAAATTTGGACCGAATTAGTAGGCATTTTTTCCAACCACACCACACGCGTCATCACGTTCAATAGCTGCACCATCACGTTCTATGGCTTCGTCATCACGTTCAGTAGCTAGGCGCGCAATGTTTTTTAGTCATGTAACTCTATTGTAAATAAAACATGTATTTTAACCAATGGTTTTACTAACCCTGCTCTTGATTTACGCTTCGACAGAGCTATTTTTAGATAACATAAGGAAATTGCGCTAAAATTGTCACTAGACTTTTTAATTAACTTGTTTTGACATGCAGCTTTTCTGCGAATGCTTGCTTTAATATTAGTTTGTCAAGTTGTTTTTTGTAAAATATTTTATAAAATATTTTGTTCCATTTAAAAAAACCAAGTGTTTTTCGAACACAATAAATCAGTAAACTGACTTGTGTGTGTGTGTGTGATAGTTTAAAAAAACAGGTTTCTGTCGCTCATTTGAAGGCTGTGTGTGAGAGAGAGAAAGAGTGTGCGAGTATAAGTGTGTGTATGTGTGTGAGTGTGTGTGAGTGTGCGTGTTTGTGTTGTTATTTTGTAATTTAAAGCTTACACCGTGTCTTTCTATTGCCATCTTATGAAAATATTTTTAAACATTAAAAAAGAAACACCATTTCTTGCCGTTTGTATCCCCCCCCCAATTCTTGTCAGTCACACATCAAGTCAACACGCTCAATATTTATTTTTACACCAACTGGGTGGGGGCTGGGGTGGGGTGGAGAGAGGTTAATCCGACATATTTTAACGTTTGTATCATGATAATCACAACACACAACCAACGTTTGTATCATGATAATCACAACACACAACCAACGTTTGTATCATGATAATCACAACACACAACCAACGTTTGTATCATGATAATCACAACACACAACCAACGTTTGTATCATGATAATCACAACACACAACCAACGTTTGTATCATGATAATCACAACACACAACCAACGTTTGTATCATGATAATCACAACACACAACCAACGTTTGTATCATGATAATCACAACACACAACCAACGTTTGTATCATGATAATCACAACACACAACCAACGTTTGTATCATGATAATCACAACACACAACCAACGTTTGTATCATGATAATCACAACACACAACCAACGTTTGTATCATGATAATCACAACACACAACCAACGTTTGTATCATGATAATCACAACACACAACCAACGTTTGTATCATGATAATCACAACACACAACCAACGTTTGTATCATGATAATCACAACACACAACCAACGTTTGTATCATGATAATCACAACACACAACCAACGTTTGTATCATGGTAATCACAACACACAACCAACGTTTGTATCATGATAATCACAACACACAACCAACGTTTGTATCATGATAATCATAACACACAACCAACGTTTGTATCATGATAATCACAACACACAACCAACGTTTGTATCATGATAATCACAACACACAACCAACGTTTGTATCATGATAATCATAACACACAACCAACGTTTGTATCATGGTAATCATAACACACAACCAACGTTTGTATCATGATAATCATAACACACAACCAACGTTTGTATCATGGTAATCATAACACACAACCAACGTTTGTATCATGGTAATCATAACACACAACCAACGTTTGTATCATGATAATCACAACACACAACCAACGTTTGTATCATGGTAATCACAACACACAACCAACGTTTGTATTTGAAATATTTTCATCTTTTCCCTTCCTTGCCCAACACACACAGAGCAGACATACACTGGATGAGGCAATGTTGTCTTATAATGTGATAAACTACCAAATGAAAAACAGTTGACACAAAAATTGATCGTTGACAGACAAAAATTGATCGTTGTAAAGCTGTGGTTCATTGTTAGCAGCTTTTTTTATCGCTCGTCACAAAGTTACAAAAAATTGGTTGTTATTGTGTAACAAATGTTACAGGAAATAAAAATATTTTTTTTAAATGTTACATCAAATTAAGGGAGAGTAGCAGAGAGTTACTAAAGCAAACACGTGGTTAATTGAGTTATGCCCCGTGAATAGAAATTTTTAGTAGCTGTGTTGAATACAAGGGCGGTCCCAGGGGAGAGAAGGAGGGGATAATCCCACAAAATTGTTTTTACTCACCAAAAAAAAAACGATTGCTTTTCTTTACTACTATTTCAATAAGGTATTCTAATGAATGAAGCAGATGTAAAATGATTTTTTCTAAGCTACGTTTTTGTATTACTGTAAAACTTACGCTGGTGTGACTAAAAATAAAAGACTGGGCGCTAACTTTTGGTGAATATATTTATATTATATCCCCTTCCATTGGGGGTTCAGTGATAGCTTTACCTTTTTACCTTCTATAATATAAGACCCATGTTCAGTTTTCATCAATGAGCGCCCAGGTTTTTAATTTTAGTCATACCAGCAAATTGCTTTTGTAATTTTACACTAAACTAAATTTGTTTTTTAATTTTTAGTATATTTTTTTATTTGTCATTTCTTTTTTTGTGATTTGTGAATATAATAAAAGCCTTCTTCCTTATGTTTTCTGTATTTAAGATTTATTTGTAGTTCAGCCATTGTGTTTTGAGAAAACAGGTTCATTGATTGGGTCTTCACGTGATGTGGGTCGCTTCTGTGCTCCGTTGTTGATAGAACGAGACGAGACACATGTGTTGGTGTGCTCATGTGTGTTGTGTGTGAGTTGTGTGTGTGAGTTGTGTGTGAGTTGTGTTCAAGTTAACGCTGTTAACAAATGTTCGGGTTAAGGGGAGACAAATGACAGTTTGCGGTGATTGTTGTCCTTGATTCTAGCTAGTTTTTAGATCAAAACAAGAACATGATGTGCTTCCGTTTGCAAGAGGCGACCCCCCTCCCCCCTCACCCCAAACCCCCAAACCAATCGTAAGATGACCCTAACAACCCCCCACCCCCAACACACCCACATAATATAACAAGACATGTGAGGAAACAGCTCCTGCACTGTGTCGTCCGTTACTTCTGTAAACAGCACGGTGCTGATTTACCTTTCTCTGGCCAGGTGAAAATACCTGACACCACTATAGACCAGACGACTACCTGTGTATGTGGTACTTGAAGCCACGCTGTTCTTTAAATCAACTAGCGCCATTCATGCGTGACCAACGACTGAAAAAAAAACTTTCGTCGTGTGCGGGTGTATCAAATTCGTGTGTGTTGTATTTGTGTGTATTTGTGTGTTTGT